CTTAGTGCGACTACACCCGTGCTGTAGGCGAACGGTATTCACCGAACCAAATCCAAAGTAGGCTGGTCGAACGTTTCATACGCCTTTCGTTTATCGTGACACCGCGTATCAACAGGCGAAGTGCCAAACTGCGAATCCATCCATGTTGTTGAAGAAGCAATTAGCACGTGAACGCCACAGAGCGGCTGGATCCGTGCCGTAGGCGAAACGGCGTTCATCAAATGAAATCCGGAGCAAGTGGTCGAACATGTACAAATTTCTGCAACACGACGCCGCGTCGACGAGGGTCTCACGGAGGCTGCTCGTCATTTGTCTCAATCACGTGACCTCGCCACCAGCGTGGCTGCTTCCGTGCCACAGCAAAGCGGATATTGCATTAAACCAAGATATATTTAAGTCATCTGAGACCGAGAAAAAAACAGAAATCCAACATACTATCTTTACCGCGTGCCCCGTCGGGGCGGGTCGACAATATCTGCAGTGCACAAACTTAGGCATACACCGTCTATCTTTTGAGAGCTGTAGGGGTCCCGACGCAATGGTTTCCTGCCCGCTCGGGTGCATGCGAAGAGAACTAGACAAAACGTGTCCGATCCTCGGTGGCATGCCACAACACGTTGTCTTCAAGGACCCACAATGGCCTCTAGCGACCACATTTCCTTCGCACTTGCAGACGTAAAAAGAGAGGAACATTAAAGACGACGTTGGCACTTGTAGCTACGGACGTCACACTGAATAATTTGTTCTGGCGAGCTGAATTTTCCATACATATCGGACACATTGTTCCGTGTCTTGATTACATAACCGCATTACTCTCCTTCCCGCGATGTTCCGTTGGGGAAGGTAGGAAATATCTGCGGCGCACAAATGTAAGCAAATGGTGAAAGCAATAATGCCGTCTCTCTCTTGCTTGGGGTTTGGATCATTACTGCTTCCGCACGGGCGAGGGCAAAAAACAACAACAGACTATCAACCTCCGGATACAATCACGTTTATAGCCAACAACCACACAGAATGTACAGTAGTTACTCCTCGCGGCGAACAGGCTGCCCGCGAGTGCGCCTGGACGACGGTTGGGCGGAGGCTGTACCTCGTCCCCTTCAACATACGAACGCACCAAAACAGATGCATCCGTGTCGTACGTGAACGGGAATCACCGAATCAAATTTCTGTGGTAGAGAACACATATGCACCCTCCTTGTCGTGATGCCGCGCGGGCGAGGTTTACACGGAGGATCCTCAACGTCCGCTGTTGTACAATTTGTCAACTTAGGTGCATCGTTTGAAGTCTGGGCCGTGTTCCGGTGTATACAGTTATTCATTCCTTCCGGTACATATCGTGTTCGAGAGTGTTGCTTTCAGCAGTTGCGGCTTCCCGTGAAACATGAGGTCCTCACCTTGTGATGTACCGCGCAGCCGTTGTCCGCACGGTACCTGCCCGTAGTTTACATCTCACGTCACCGCGGTACGGTGGCCGCGTCCGTGTCGTGAGGGAAGGGCAACTCCCGAGTCCAACGAAAACTAGGCTGCACAAACAAGGTCATTTATACGAGGGTTGCACGACGGTCCTCATCGTTCGCTCCAATGCGCGAATGCGAAATTTCTGCTTATGCACGGGTGACAGAAACTCAGCCCACGGACGAAACCAACGGTGTCTCGCAATATTTTTTTCATCCGAGCGGCACGAGGGACGCGCGATAGTCGCTCCTCGTGGGGAAAAGGCCGTCATCGAGCTTTGAACACCCAGCACCATGCAAAAAACGTGTGGGGGAAAAGCCGGGCTCCCTCGATAGGCGCCCCCTTACGGGCCAAGCCGAAGGCACGAGCGGCGCATGCGCACCTCGAAAGAACCAGTTAAAGTGTCTTTTTTAAGCAGGAGGCGCACCTTGGGCAGCGGGGGATGGAAAACATTTGCAAACACAGAACGAATTGTTCGTCTGCCGGGCTCAGTCGTCTCCTGTTCGCAAGGGCCTATGAGAAGAGAACATCTACTTATACGTCCGCGCCTGGCCCCCCGAAAACATCCGAGCAGTGGCGCAGCAACGTTGCTCCTTCAAGTCATCCAGGCATAGACAATGGAACAAAGCATGAAAGACAGTTACGGCGTTGCGTTTGACTCGGTGCCACCCTGGCAATTTTGCCACAGAGATATGTAGGGGCGTAGAGGACCTCCACTTGCAGGTACAGGTGTGCGATATACCCGAATACGCTGAAGACAGACAACGAGTGTTCCCGTTACGCCGTCCTCACGTTCGTACGCCTCCCCGGTGGGTTTGCTGTTGTTGACAAAACCGAACGTGATCAGATGTCGGCACGGATCTCCACGCGGTCGGGGAGCGGCAGGGCTGCCGCTAGGCAAGAGGGGCTGGGCCGAGCGGCAACAACCTTCACGTACGAGGAGACCTCTAGGACGATCAGCAGAGAGTCCGACGGCACGCGACTTGACCCGCAGCGTGTCTCGTACTGTAGCGAGGTGCAGGTCGTCACGCGAGCGCGATCGACAGACACCCGTGACGCTCCCGGCGAGACCTAAGTGGCCACTGTCCGCGGACCGGGGTATGGACAGAAGGGCGAGCAGCAGCGGCAGCGCGACGAGGCCGTAGGCGAACAACAACAGCTGTGAATGACGATTGATGATCTGGACTGGTGAGGGTTCGCGAGCGTTGTCGCCAGCACCTCGGCGAGGCACGGATCGACGTGAGCAATATCCCGGTCCGCGACATTCATCAACGACAACTCCACAGCTTTCGCGTCGAAGTGGTTTGATCCCGCCATCAGCTGTATATCCACCCACTTCGCCCCACCAGCCGTCATGCCGGACTTCCTGCCGGCGGTCACCATCGAGCGGACAGAGACGTCTCGCTTTATCGGCAGGGGCGGGAATCTGCGCGGCAGTGTACTGTCGCCCGTTATGTGGCGAGCACCAGCACCTATCGCCGTCAAAGAGCCATCCCGTGGGTCTACGGCGGAACACGGAAGCGCGAGCTCGGGTACCAAAGGGGGCGGAGGTGGAGGCGGAGGCGGGGGTGATCTCCGGAGACAGGGATAATAGTCACACCGCCTGATGTGTCAACGGGGGAGGGGGCGAGGGGGCGCGGGAGTGAGGCGCACTCCGCAGGAGCGGACGGTACGACGCCCAAGTCTGCCGATTTCCTTACCCATGGAATCGGCGAACAGGGGCGCGGGTCTACGTAGATTGGGGTTGAGGGAGGCTACGCCGGGCAGCAGAGAGAGAACGAGGTCAACGGGAACGCCCGACGGCGCACCCAGACAAGCTTGGGCCGTTATCGATAAATATAGACGAGGTGACCGGACCGCAGTCAGGCGTGAGAGCAAACAGCGGTGCAGTTGCTCTTCTGGTGTAGTTGTTGTCGTTATAGACGAGGTGACCGGACCGCAGTCAGGCGTGAGAGCAAACAGCGGTGCAGTTGCTCTTCTGGTGTAGTTGTTGTCGCGTCATGCACCGTTCATCTGACTCCGTACCGTTTGCTTCGTAAGGCTTTGCTGGAGCAGTTTGGGCTCTGAAGTTCAGCACGGCTCCTGTGCGGCTAGGGGTATGATCGCCAACCGGGGGTTCAAGTTGGATTCCTTTTGGCAGATCGGAGGAGCGACGTTGATAGGTGCAGGCGGAGACCCTGCAGAACGTGAAACTCAGAGAGTAGAACGAGCTGTGCAATTCAAAATATCGCAGAAGACTCGCTACGGATATCGTGGAACTCACGGATGGCAGCAGCAACGAGTCAGCCGGGAGAAGAAACTGTACGGGGTACAATGTCAGTCGACTTCTACCGTAGATATCCAGAAATTGACCTCGATGTGGGTGTTGCAGATTGGCGCGTACCATTTGGGGGCTTGGTAAGTTTCAGGAGTCCAACGTTTGCAGTCGTAGTCCCCCGGGGGGTATTTTTTGCGGGGAGGAAGACCGGTTTGTAAGAGTCAACGCCGCTCCTCATAGTTACTGTGGCTGGCCAGACGACGGACGTTCCGTGAGTCTCACTCTCCAACGTGTTTCCTACTAGCCGAAGAAAAATTACGAAATTATTCGAAACAGAACAACAACAAAAAATAGTTGCTCTTTCTCAAGAGTTCGTTGATTGGCCATGCACAAGAAGGCTCCCCACGATAACGACTCCCTTCCATCGCAGCAAGAATGAGAAACTCACCATCAGACGCCTGAAAAAGGGAGCCGCACCGAAGCAGCGTCGGCACTCGTTGCTTCGAAACGGGGGCGCACTACACATTTTGAAAATCCACATAAAGATGGGTGCCGAAACCGCGTCATATACGAGCTTGGTTCACTCTTCTCCCGTCGTCTACAAGCTGCCACGGGCGATCCTGAGCACATGCGCCGCTAGCCCTACACACGCTGGTTCTCGCAAGCTATCAACGTTGCTCGTACTCGATGAAGTCGCCCCTGTTTGTGCGTGAGCGTGTTTTGGTGGAAGCAAGAGATTTGGGTCTGATTCGGCTAAAGAACTGGCTACAAGCTTTATGAAATTGTTTCTTGTCAGTATAGCACCTGATTACCCCCACAATGAAGTGTGTGTTCCCAAATGTCTACGTTATTCCGTCCACCACCTCATCAGCTGCTCCTGTGTGTTACAAATCTGTGGTGTGTGTTCACTGCTGTTGCCTCGCCGGCCAATGTTGTGCGATGTATTCTTCGTGTGTGGACAGAAGGCTTTCTACGCCAGCCCCTTGTTCTGGTTTGTGTCTCCAGCTTGCATGTGGTGTGTTCATGTGCTGTTCATGATCCCATTCCATGCATGCTGAACACATGCCTACCCGATGGATCCGCGCACCTTTTAGATGAGACTTTCAAACAGTCAGAATCCTGGCCGGAAAAACTACTGGCATCCTGTCGACAAGGGCCTTCGGCAGCCAAGTTGTATCATATCCCTTCTATGTTCGCTGTTGGCAACATTCGTAGTACATGTAGCACCCATGCTTTGACAGGAGAGTAGCGTGAGCACATAAGATCTGTATGCTCTTGGAATGTACCGACATCAGCAACCAGCAGTAGCTAGCAGTCGCGTGCAGTTAGAGACATCTCGGATTTGAGAGGAATCCAGATTTCGGAACGAAATCATGAAGAGTCAGATATCCCATAAAGCATGTTGGAAAATGACTCTAACTTGTTCAGTCCCCTTTCTCTCTCCCGAAATACGCCGGAGCTATGGAGGAGACAGGAAATTTTGAGAGAGTAGAAGGCCCTCTCGCAACACGCAGCGTTCCGCCACGGCGGCTTCGGCGAGTGCTTGACGGTGGCTCTATGGACCCCACAGCGGCTGCGAGCTCACTGGTGGGCCCGCGTATACTTCCGCTCCTCAACCTGACCGCAAGACGGCCACGTTCGTGGACGCGACCATCGCAGCCTATGCTTCGCCGTGCTACACCGCGCTGATGCCGGGCACTACGTTAAGACCTTGGGGGCGTCTTCGACCGCAACCGCATGAGTTGAGCGATCAGGGCTCGTTGTTGGAGGAGGTACTTTTGCGATTGGGGGGAGTGCCCACATCTGAATGCCGCCTCTTCCAACAGCGTTGCTAAGTGGACACACGACAAACCAGAGGTACGATGCCCGCTTCGTGCAAATTAAGAAAAGAAACAACCACATTTACAAGCGAATCTTTGTGGTCCGAGTTTTCCTCCTTCACCCGCTTCGAAATATATAGCCTAGACTACGCTGGAAGGTCTCGCTACACTTTCTGTAAGCTTCTGGAAGCGTTCTAGACCTAGATTGCACTTGATCCTTTTCTCGATCGTAGGATGGTTTCAGAATCATTCTGGAAGCATTCTAGATCTTTCGTGTGATTAGCTTATTTGTCCGGTATTCGAGGAGAGTGGTGCAGCCCTAAGCTCGCCACCCCTCTAACTCCTCTTCAGTACCAGCAACATCAAGCTGACCGGGGAGTCAGCAATCAATAAAAACATCTTCATATGTCCATTCCAAGTCTCTCGGGGTTGAAGCCGCACAGAGTGTGAAACTTGGCTAACGCACACACTACGAGCTGCGAGCATCACGGGAAGGTCAAGGCAACCTCCTCTTGGGACATCAGCCTTCATCGGTGGGCAACAAGAGAACGTGGTTTCGGAAGTTTCTGGAGATTGCGACGCCGTTATCGGTCAACGGGACTACAAGCAAACGCGGAAACTTGGTCATCTACACCAAGGTGCTGAGAGTTCATGTCGTATACACACGTTAACACCGCTGCGACAGCAGTGGGTACCTCTGTGGTGAACTAGCAGCAAGGGTCACGTGCGCGGGAGTCTCCAGCGGCATACGCATCGGGTGTGAAAGGTACTACACTGTATCATCAGTGGAGGCGATCAGCAACCGAAGTCCGCTATATCAGTAACAGGAGCGGGATCGGAAACAAGAAATCCACAACCGGAGTCCTCTAGATCAGTAGCAGGAAAGTCTCGGGTACAGGCAGTAGTACCACGAGCAAACTACTCCTGCAGCAGGAAGTACTTTTATCAAGACGAAGAAAAACAAGCTTTAACGAGTAATGAATACCGCAACGAGCAACACAGGGGTTGGAAGCGCGTTCGCCAGCGATAGTTCTACAAATCAGGCAACCGTGATCAAAGGTCTCAAGAAATTAGACAGAAAGGACTCAGCTGAGTTCAAGACATGGATTAAGAAATTATGCGTGGTGTTAGGCGTGACCAGGAAGGACATCTTGCCACTGCTGAAGAAACAAAGAAAGCCAGATCCCGCAGACACAAGGGCCTTCGACTCCAACACGGCAAACGAAGATCTTTACGCCATTCTTTTCCTCCTGGTAGAATTTCCGGCCGCCTTGTCGGTACAGAAGCAGGAAGACGACACTGGCATCAGCGGCGACGGATAAGCTGCCTTCGAGGAGCTCTGCAACAACTATGACAGGGTAACGGACGGGTCATCAGGGCCAAGATGGAGGAGCTGGAGAACAACTCCATGAACCCTGGTGAAAATCCCGACGACTACTCAACCAGAAGCACCTACTTCGCGCCCAGCTGGATTAGGTGGGAGAACCCATCTCCGACCGCCGCTTCAAGGACATTTGCGTACATGGATTCTCCGACGAATATGAGGACGTCAAACTGATGGTGTTCAGGGACCCAACCTTCAACGTCCTGGACATGCAACCCACCATGCGCAACATCTTCTTGGACGAACAATCGCGCAAGGGATGGAAGGGACGCATAGCTGGTCGAGGATTTGCCATGGCAACGACCGCGTCTGACATCATCTGCCACAGCTGCTACGAGCCGGGACACATCAGGCTGCCCCAAGAATAAGAACAGGGCGAAGAAGAAAACGAAGCCTGCCCGAGCTACCAAGTGGTGCTCCAAGCGCAACACTACGTCTTACTCGGACGAGGAATGCTACCAACAAGGAGGAAAGCGCCCGGAAGACACCAAGGACTCAAGTAAAGCATTCACCACGTGCTCCGACTGCACTCACTGCTCGTCGGCGTCCAACAAGAACGACTCAAACAATGAAGAGGCAGTTGTCGACTTCACCGGGGACGAGGACACCTTCGACAGCGGCTTCATGTTCGCCACGTGTTCCCGCATTTCAGGACGTAACTTCGCCGCAAGCTCCACCGGGGTAGGACTGCTGGTAGACACGGGAGCATTGGAGACCATGTTTGACAATCGCCTCATCCGCGACGGAACCTTCACGATTACACCCAGCGAAACTCTCCGAAGATCGTTGACGTGGCCGGAGAAAGCCAACTCACAGACACGACCACGGGCATTCTACACTGCACCGTCAAGGACAATCGAGGAGAGCAATTGCGCGTGCGGATTCAGGGACCCGTCGTTCCGGGGCTTGGTCGAAACATTTTTTCGCCCACCTCCTTCCTTAAAAGAGCCTGGTCCGGTGAGAACCCGGCGTGCTCCGTCCCGGCTTTGTAGGGATGCGAGGTCAATGGTCTAACGACTACGGCATGCAC